ATGTCGTATCCCTCCCACCAGCCCTGGCGCCGCCGCTGGTCGCCTCCGCCGGCCCACCTGTTCCGGCGCCGCGCCGCGTTGGCAGAGAACCGTTAGCAGTAGCAGCAGGCGGGACGGCGGCGGTGGTGGCGGTGGCGCAGCTGGAGCGCGGCCGGGGCAGCCGCGCGGGGCCGCGGCAAGTCCGGGCTTCACGTTCGTCCCTCCGTCCACGCGGCTTTCCCCCGATGTCCTGTAGCAACCCGCGCCCGTGCCCGTGCCCATCCTTATTGCTAGGATACGCCCGACGGCGGGGGTGGGAAGATCGTGCGCTGAGCGGGTTGAAAGTTAAAAAAGTGTAAAATGAATTGAATGCGAGTTAGCGTAATAGAAAAGTCTTAGATTAAAGACCAGACGGATTTTAGACGCCTACTTAAAAGTAGAAGAGTCCGGTCGGGCCACTGCCTGAATGAAAATTTTAGTTCACCTACTCTGCGGAGGCTCTGAGCAGTGCTCGAAACAACAGACGACTCGCGCTGAGCGATGTAGCGATCTCAATCTCGCATCCCGCTTCATTTGGTCGCATTTTCTCTTGGTAAAAAATGTCGGAAAGCAGCTTCAAATGCTTGAGACACAAGAGACTAGAATTATTTTCCTTCTTTGACAGGCTCAAAGATGGTCTTGGGGAAAAACATTTAATTTCCGATAGTTATTGGTTCCGGTAAATGAGAACGCTGATTTATGTATTCATAGTTCAATGGAATATACTCAAACTCTACTAATATTTAATGTGAGATAACATTTTACGTGGAGACGGCTTTTCTTTTTTCTTTTTTTCTTCTGCTACGCTACTTTTCCGAATGCTACACACGCTTGTCGCAATGTGTAGCATGTAAATATGAAAAAAGTATAGCACCTTTTATCGTTCTAGTAAAACCTTATTTCTAGTGACATTGAGACTTGGAGGCGAGTCGATAGATCTGCCTCACTCACAGGTCGTAATAACATGTACGGAGTGAGGGCCGAAATTGATACAGTTTCTAGATTTCCACCGTTAATTGATTTCGGCGCCAAGAGCAGTAACAACAGAAGGTACCCTGTCTTGCGGAGTCGGTGTTTGAACTAAGTGGACAACGTGGGAGCTCATTTGAATTTTTGTTGCGGAGTTGGTGGTGGCTCATCGAAGCCATTGCGTCTGTGCGTTTCGCGTCCCGCCCCGCCCCGCTCGTCCCGTCTTGTCCCGTCAGTGGCGCCGAAATCGGCGGCGCAATAGAAGCAGTGAAAGCTTCACGCGGCGGGGGAAACTATCGGGGTCCGTGTCCTCGATGAGGCGGAACTCTTCCCTTCTTCCGCCGGTTACCACCGACGCTTTCGCGCCCCTTCCCCCCTCCCCCTCACGCATTGCCGCAGCTGATCAAGTCGCTGATAATACGCCTAATACATTGTGAACACAGGCGTGTACCTCAATGTGATGCACGGTGTACCCAGATTAATGTTTTGTCTTTGTGCGAGAAACTGAGCTTAAATATGGTTTAGTCTTTTAGTGCTCTATGGCTCTTTCTGTATTGTGACTTGGTGCAGCAGGTTAGGTAAGTGTTACGAGAACTGACTTTTCTGAGTAGTTACGAAATGATAATAGAGAATAAGGAATACGAACATCACGAACTTGAAACTCCAATGGCTAGCTCGTGATCCGAAATCGCAACCCAGCACACATCTTCACTGGCTGAAGTACATCGGTGAATAAAAACTAGAGCCTTTGTAAGTGGTGTGTGTCGGTTCGACCTCGACTGCCCGACTTTTCGAGTACAAGTAATTTTATGAGTAGAAAATTAACTTCATAGAACTGCCTTGTTCCGTAAAGGAGTGGAAAAATCGCCAAAAATTTAATTTAAATCCCCACTCCCAAATTGTTACATGATAAATAATACATTATGTTGCTTTAGCTGCTCTCTTTAGATTTCCGCGTCTTGTTAGCACCTTATTTTTATTATGACTTTTTTCAATTTCAGCTCTAAACTGTGCATGTTGGGCCGCCCACAAGTTTTTGTCTGTCACACACTCGTCAATGCGGTTCGAACTTGCGATCCATAGGGTCAACGGAGCGGGTAGTTATTTTCGTAAATGCCTCTGCGTGATATAGGCAATAAAAAGCAACTACGTTCTTGTTCACGTCTATGAAGTTGGGTTCATGTTGTTACACCGTTGTTGGTTATCCTTTCAGAACTTGTAGAAATAAATATCTATCCTGGACCACATCAAAGGCAATTACGCATTGACTATGACATTCCGTGAAACTGTTCATTTTGCTTTGTCGCGTGCGTGGAAGTTGTGTAACAAATCGTATCTCCGGTAGTGCCCGCCCTCATCCATATTATATTTTGCCGTAATCATATGTTGCAATTTTCTGCATCGGTAATCGGCAAAAATATTAACGTAACATTCTAAGAAACTACAGACTTCTCAGTCTTTTCCAAAGCTCAAAAGAAACCTTGATTGTTGAATTAATTGAAATTTTGGTGGTCACTTTGTCTTTTGGCACGAAAAATATGACTGGATATGTTACGGTTCGAAGAGCGAATAAATAAATTATAAACAATCTTGGTGAGTAACGGGCGTGAACCAGTCTTCAACCGTGGTCCGGTTTTATCTAGGAATAAAGTTTGTACTTTCGAGTTTAAAGATTTCTCACACTCTTTGTGTCGGTGCGTTTTGAACCTTGAAACATTTTCTCCTGCGCGAAGCAAACCGAAAAGGTTCTGCAAGACCAGCTTTCCTGTGACATTGTTTACTACAATCGATGGCGAAAGTGGATCCGAGGCAAACGCTGAAGATTCTTTGTTCTGCGTATATTAAGATTCTCATAGTTGCTAACTTTATACTGCGCATTCGTGCACTTCGCTGGTACACGTGATGTATTTAAATGCGTGTAGTTTGAATTTCGATTATAAATGTTGTGGCGGGTGGATCTGATTGAGCGGTGATCGCCTGGTTCAAAATAGGAAGTAATGCAGTGCACTCTAAAACGTTTGCGTGGAATCCCGAAGAGAAGCTAGTTGTTGAGCGCCGCCTGGCCCGCTGGCGCACTCGGGTTGCGGCACGCCCCACTTTCTGCGGCCGGCCGGGTGGCGACGAAGACGTGACGTCAAAAAGTGAAATTGTGTATCTATCGCTCGTTTTCGCCGGTGCGCTTCGCCGCCCGGAGCGGGAGGGGCCGCGGGCGAGGGCCGCGCGCTGTCGACCCATCGATGTGTGCTGTTGTTGACGTTGCGTCAGGATTTGTTATAATCCTGGCTCGAGGGCTCCCGATCCGAGTGTGTGCAAAAATTGAATATGAACGCAACGAGAAGTTGCTTCCCATTTAACAAAGCTCTGACCAAGTGGGAGGTAGTAAACTACCAACGATCGCGTTTTCGTCAAGAATCATAGTGAAGAATTGTATGGTGAAACTTAAGTTTTAGGCACCCCCAAAATATGGAATTCTTTATAGGAACGAAACAGTTACCGAGAACGATCTTCGATAATTCTCTGAAAGGTTACGTTAGCAAGGAATTGTTAGTCTTACTTGAATGGCGTTCACTGAGCTTTTTGAATTTTTGGTGACACCAACTGAAATGATCTTCAAAGAAGTTCACTCATTCGATTTCAAAGTTTCTCTTTACTTTTTGGAGTTGGAAAAAATAGTATTGTGTTTCTTCTATTGGCCTGGTTTTGACCTACATCTAAGGTGCGAGGACTTTACATAATTACGAATCGCGCGTAATAAAGAATTGTGTGTTACCATTTGATGAGTGGATTCCAGCTCTTTACTTTTTGGTGCAATGTTCTCAAACTTCTTGATACTAGATTGACACTTCGTCCCGGGGTATGGCGTTTCTTGTATTGATTTTTGCCCTGTCTTGAAACGAGCAGTGCAGGGACCCGACGGACGGCCGCGGCCACGCTCTGCCACCTCGCCGCTTTCTCGCGCCCCGAAGCCTCCCTGCTCGCGGGCTCGCTTTTTGCACACCGGGAGGAGGCCTGGCCGTTGACCCACCCCGAGCGCGAGGCCCAACCTCCCCACCCGCACCCCCCGCAGGAAAGAAAAGAAAGGGATGGGCGAGGAAATAAAACTAGGAAAGTGGTTTAAAAGCACCGAGATTCGATGGCGCAACATCACCTCTCCAACACTTCAGAACATTATATTAGAATAATCGCAAAGTGCTCTTCAATTAAAAGATCAGTTGTTCTATGTGCAATGAAAGAATTTGGATACAAATGAAATACAAAGAACAAAATGAAACACTCAAGAAATGAGAAGGAAGAAATTCTTGGATTACTGGGGAAATTTAGTTCAAATTTCTTTTGTTTGTTGGGCTCTTTTGTTTTGTTTTCACAAGTGAATTCATGATAGATTCACGTATCTCCATATGGTTTAAAAAAATTCGTATTTCCACTTTAAACTGTTCTGACTTATTGAAAACCAACACTCTTAATACAGAAATCAAAATATTCTGTCTGCAGTTTGTCTTCATTGAGATAGATGGTGTGCCACCTTTTAACAAGTGTTAGCGTTGCTAGGTGTAGCTTGTTTTATTTAGAAGTATGGTGAAATAATGATGGAAGAGTTTTCAAGAAAATGTTATGAAAGTACAATAGTGAGATTTTAGTTTGTCAGCTTTAGAGCTATTAAAGAATAAAAAATGCAGAGGGAGAGGTGTTGGACATACACACATGTGCACACACACAGGCCCACATATGAAGTTTATTTTGGGTGAACTTTAAAAAATTGTTGGGATGTTGCACATTCAGCCACTCCTGTAAGTAGAGCTTAAACCTATAATTCACCTACCATCAAATCTACACAATCTCAATCCCGGTTCAATAATTATCATTTTCTTATAGTAATTGAGGATTCTTTTGATACCCTTAGTATAAAACCTACTTGTGTAGTGAATAACTTACTTTTTAAGAATTTACTTCATGTCTGCTTCTGAAATTAATGCTGCCATGAAAGTATAATGAAATTTCTTCCATGTTTGCAGATGGTATGGTCAAGAACGAGAATACAATGTTTTGGTCATGGACCTTTTGGGTCCATCCTTAGAGGACTTGTTCAACTTCTGCTCACGCCGTTTTACTATCAAGACAGTGCTAATGTTGGCTGACCAGATGATCGGGCGCATTGAGTATGTGCATTGCAAGAGTTTCATTCACAGAGATATCAAGCCAGATAACTTTCTCATGGGTATTGGAAGGCATTGTAATAAGGTGAGTGTTTCTTTCCGTAAGAAGCAAAACACACATGGGTGTGTACTGTTTGTCAGTTTTCATCATGTAAAGATAGTACATTCTTGTTGGTAAAAATAGTCCTCTCTATTTTAGATAATGTAATTTCTTACTACATACATAAGGGGTAACAGTACTGTAATATGATACTTCTATTTACCTAAATTGAACAAAATATTTTTTTGACTTTAGACAGAATAGAAGTTTAAAATTTTCTTGCCTCTAGTGAACCTGTTTGTGAAGCCTTTTTAAGCACAAGCTCGATGTTTCTTGCTAAGTACACTCTCTCAATTTCAGGTGATCGCTTTTTTCATTACTTCTGTTCAGTCAATATGACAATCTTTATGCAGTTTTGAAACCACATTTGCCACAAAAATAACGAAACCCAATTTTTTCAAATCGGCTAAATTTGAATACCCAATTCCCCAATCTGATCAGTAGAAAATTCTTAACAGGTTACTGTTATTGTCAAGATAATAAAAATTCTCAGGTTTCCCTACAATATGTTTTGCAAGATTTAAAATGTCACGTCTGTGACCTGTGACAAACGACAACTCGTTATTGCATCATCTTCATTCATCTAACCTTGGTAATAAATGGTCTGAACTTCCAAAAATGTAATGGAAGATTTTGAAGATATGGGATATTGAGAAACATAACTTGGGTTCTTATTGGGTCCCAAAGATTGTTTTCAGGGTCTAAAATGTTTTAATTATAAATAGTGCACAAAGGCAATGCATAATACACATTGTATTTGCTGCCAATTTCTTTGTTGCACAATCTACAACCTTCTAATGTGTATATTAATTATGTTTGATGCACGCACACCAGATACATAAGACCCCATTAAACTAAAGCAAATTTTTCAATGTTTTGTGTTGATGGCATCTTACAAATTGGATCAAAGCAGCCACTTGTTTCCTAGCTTAGGGAAGATTATTGAATTATCACTCATACTCTGGATAATTTGTTTTCACACATTTTAACTTTGTATGTGACTTGTGGTTGCGTACCATTGTGTTTCTAACAACTCTGGTTTTTTGTTGTTGTTTTGTAGTAGTAGTTGTTGTTATTGTTATTATTATTATTATTATTATTATTATTCATATCTTTTTGATTCTCTATAAGTGTAGTGGAGGGTGTTGTGAGCCTGCAGACTAGGAAAAACTTTCAAACTCCTGGAGTGATAGCTCCCAAATTTGGCTAGACTATTGCCCAGATTGAAGATAATTGTTTTGATTACTCCCTAATATTAATTTTACTAATGTGCTTGAATGCAACCCGGTCTGCATTTATGTATGAAGGGATTGCATTGCAGGGCAGAGGTTAAAATAAAATATCTTCCATTTTACACTAAAAAAATCACAGGTTTGAGGCCTGGTATCAATAAAATTTTGAAGGGGTCAGTGATCATTAAGGGCTTCACTGCTAAATGTGAACTGGTGACTAATCTGCATAAGATGAAGCTTCCATTGCTTTAAAAAAATGAAAATTGATAATTGTTTTTTGACATTAAGCTATAAGCTTCTAATAATAAAGCATGAATTTGCTCTTTATTATACGCATCTCTTTCCTCATTAGGATGTTTAGAGAACCCATGAAAATTATAACAGTGTATTCACTAAGTTACTCTATCGCACAAATATTCTGTAGAATATGCTCTGCAGGTGTCTGGTAGTTAGTTTTTAAAAATCACTTAAAACACTACAGTTTGTATCCTTTGCAACCTCAATGAAAATTAGAAACTCTGATATTCATAACAAGAAGCATCTATGAATATTGGAAATATTGGAGATATTTACAAAAATAACAGTATGTGGAATTATGTTTAGGACATTAACCTGCAATGTTCAAAGTCATCAGTATGATGTAAGGGGATTGAAGAAAAAAACATTCGTGTTTAAAAGGTTGATGCAAAAAAATGTTGTGAGTCCTTGGTATAGTTATTTCATTTCTGTAAGGGTCTAATAAATGATTGTGGTAAATAAATGCCCTTGTGACTATCAGGTTTCTTCCACTAGTTCATTATTAAATGAAGGAATGTATTGTCTTAAAGGTACTAGAAAATGGTTCTTTAGTAGTACTTTAAATATATCCCTATATAAAATATGTAGTTTTCCTATTCTATGCACTAAACTTTGTGTAAATTAAAGAAAACTGCATAATTTGGTGAGAAAATAGGCTTTTCATTAAAGTGTTAATATCATTCTGAGATCATTGAAATTAGAGCCAAGGTAATGAACACTCGTTATTCCATAACGTGAATAGAACATCAGTTCTTTGTCATGAGTAGATATTAATATTAACATTTTTAAATCTCTTAAGATTGTTTTATTTCAAATTTTCTGAATAAAGCTTTATTGTTTTTAATAACTTAATTACTAATTTGTTCATGATTGTGCAGTTGTTCCTGATTGACTTTGGGCTTGCCAAGAAGTATCGTGACACCCGCACTCGGGCCCACATTGCTTATCGTGAGGATAAGAACCTGACTGGCACAGCCCGTTATGCCTCCATCAATGCACACTTGGGCATTGAGCAGAGGTAAGTTCTTAAAGTTTGAAATTGTAGTGAAATAGATGTTAATTTGCTGCCTGTAAACTATGAGGAGGGAGGGTAAATGAAATCATGCAGGGAAATCTTTTCTACACAAAGAAACACAAACAAGTGAGCAAATAAACAAACAGAAGAATTCCCGCTTTATTCCCCAAAACAACCATAAAAGTTAACTGCTAATATCTTAAAACATAATTAATATAATTTATTATGGTTTAATATTTTTTTAAATACAATTTTAGAGTTTACAGTATTGGTATAAGAAGTATCAAAACCATCTTGTTTGTTTTTATAGCCGCAGAGATGATATGGAGTCTTTGGGGTACGTGCTCATGTACTTCAACAGAGGGAGTTTGCCTTGGCAAGGTCTAAAGGTAAGTATGAACATATTGAGTATTTTTGGATTTGTTGTTTTGTTCTTTGCAAGTACATTATTTTAGTGTTACAAGACTTGATTAACAATGAAATAACCTAAAAGTCATGTTCACGATACCTAAGGATAGACATTTTTATATTCCTATTGAAATGAAATGAAACTACTGTACTTCTTCTGTTACCTCTTCTGATGTAGGTATTATCTACACTATCAAGGTTAAACTGAGACTGTCCGGGTGGCTGAAGTTTCTGCCAACATATTGTGGCCCTCCTCAGAGCGAATTTCCTATGTGAGGAAGGCCACAATATGTTGGCCAGAATGTCAGCCACCACGACAAGACACTGCTCAACCTGGATACTTTAGATAACACAAACTCCGCCCTCAAAAGCCTATGCAATCATTTTGATTTAGGTGATAACAGAAATAAAAATGACTACTTTGCAATTTTTCAAGCTTACAAATGGATGATTTTTATGTAAAAGGAACCAAGCACCATTAATAACAAACAGAAAAGACTGTTTAAAGTTATTGTCATTTTAAAATAAATGCGAAAGCCACTTCATGATGGAAAATGTAGTAGGATAACGAAGTCATTTTAATCTGCTTTTTACTATTACATATTCCATTGATATTCACTACTGAGCTTCATAATTTAGAATGACAGTTCGTTTTTTTAAATGAATTATATTACTATTTGTATAATAAGAACCAAGCAAAATATAGCAAAAGATAACTTGATATTAGGTACAAGAAAATATAGAAAATTTATTAACATAGTTTCATAATTATAAGGAATGAATCCATACAATTTTGGAAACAACACGTATATATTCATCATATTCTACAATAAAGTCTGCGACCATTCCAAAACTACTTCCCTTCCTCAATTTGTGGTGTCACATATTCTATATTTTAAAGCTTTTCTTTGCTTACTGGCATTCCTTCAGGCCTCAAGGAAATCATCTATCCTTCACAGAAGCTTCCTGATTGCATTTTCTTAAAATTGTCTTGAATGACATTGTTTGGGAAATGATAGTTTTCATATCCAGTACAAATGGTTTTGGTTCTTTCAAGTTCTATTGTAGAGACTTAACTGATGTGCAGTCTAGTGGCGAAAATTTTGAACCCTTAAGAATGAGAATTTCAGATAACCCATTTTACATCGCTTTCTTTTTGATAGAACACTTTTCAGCATAAATGCAAATTTTCACATTTTGGTTCATAGACTGGGTTTCGTTTATGCTCTACAATTCCACAAACTATGAGCCAGTTAATTTGGTTTCTCCCAAGGTTTATCGTTTTAAGGGTGGTGGTGTTTTTCAATTTTCTTGGGACCTTTGGAGTTATTACTCTTCTCCATTTGTGACACACTACTATCCTCTTTTTAAGACTTCCCTTCCATGGCTTTAATGTTGTCCTCTTACACTTGTAAGTATCCACTTTGTCACCTTGACCTGCAGCATCTTCTACCCAAACATATAAGAAATTTTAATTTTCTTTTCAAGAATGGTTTGTTGTTGGGGTTTTTTTCCCCCTCATAACATAAGAATTCTAAATAAGTCGTCTAATATTTCCTGTGGCGCTTGGTTCCTTTTATATAAAAGCTGTCCAAATTTTATAATTTTAATTGATTTTTTCACTTCTGTAAAGTAATACAATGTATTAAATTTATTCATGTACATGTTTTGATGGAAACAATTTCTGTATTACAGGCAGCTACCAAAAAACAGAAGTATGAAAAGATAAGCGAGAAGAAGATGTCTACTCCAGTCGAAGTGTTGTGTAAGGTAAGCATCAACCAAAATTGAATTGTTGGTGAATTTATTCTAAGTTTAATATAAAAGGATATAGTACTTGCAGATGTTTGTAATTTCATTTGTGAATGGAGTAACTAACAAAATGTCGTCTTTATTTAGTAGCATACATTGTAGATACACTTGACTCCAGCAAGATGTTAATGTAATTTTGTGCTACAAAATTTTCTCTAATTGTGTGAAATGAACCTACTCGTGCACTTCCACACTAATCTATGCGAGTGGTTCTCTGAACATTTTTCAACAAATGTAACACGTAGAGGGTTACGGGACTTACAGTTAATATTTTTAATGTTAACAAGTGAGAAATTATATCACTTTAGTTAGTATCGAAAATTGGTGAATGCTGTATTTTTTAATGTGTATCGTTGGCTTGGGGGTAGTATGAATGATTTTTAAATAATCCTTTTGGAAACCATTATCTTTATGTGCTATAGTAACAAAAGTTTAAATTATGATTTCTTGAGCAAAAGGTAAACTTTCAATGAAAATGAATGTAAATTGAAATGGCCCATTAAAACATTGTTGAAAATTTTTGTTGGATTTTTTTTAGGGCTTCCCAGCAGAATTTGCCATGTACCTTAACTACTGCCGTGGTCTGCGATTTGAGGAGGGCCCCGACTACATGTACCTGCGCCAACTATTCCGCATTCTATTCCGCACGTTGAACCACCAATATGACTACACTTTTGACTGGACGATGCTGAAGCAGAAGGCTGCTAATGCAGGCACTGGTGCAGTGGGTGCTGCTGGGGCCACGGCTGGTATTGCTACTCAAGGTGGGAAATCTACTTCTGCTGTAGTGGCCCCTCCAACCACTGTTGCCGCGACCAACCTGACCCCGGGAATGTACCGGGACAAGGAGCGTGGGGACAAGCGCGAGTGATGATGGGACATTTCATTGTGTGCAACACGCCTGCCATGTCCATTCCATCTCTTGCTATCAAGTGTCCCTTCCTCCCTCTCTTCTAGCTTTTTCTCTTTACCATAAATTGTTATATTTGTTTGAATGAAATGTTTGTGTAAGTAAAGATGCTTGAAAAGCTTGTATGTATGAAGCCCTTTTGTTATATCCTTCTCTATCCTTGGAGATCATTCAGTTTAGGTTGGATGCTTAAATTGTCAACAGCATTGTGTATGTTTTCGGAGAAATTAATAAAAAGGAAGAGGAAGGGCTACAATTTTCTGTTGAAGTATATGGAAAATCGTCTAACGTTTAATGATTCAAAGAAATTCTTTGATTCATTATCACATATACAAGTGAAGTAATGTTGTACAGTACTCTTTGTGTATTCAGTTTGTATAATGTTGATTGAACAATTGTGCTATCATCATTTTCTTGTTATTAATTATTTCTAGAATGTCAGTCTACATAGGTTAATATTTATGTTTATTAAGTGTTCTGTAAGAGTGATAGTGGAATATCACATAATTGAAAAATAGTTCTTTGTATCTATTATTCTACTTTTCAATGTTAAAAATGTAACTTAGTAAAGTTTTGTTTGAAGTCATAACTTCTTGAAACTTTTAAATTTGTGTGAGAAAAAATCAAGGGTACATTAAACAGACTTTTATTTGCACAAGATATAATTGAGGGGGCAACATTTATTTTGTAAGGTCTCCGTTCAAGAATATCATGGACGGGGGATTAAATCAGCCAGCAAAAACATAGCTTTGTTAAAATATTTAGAAATACAGCGTTTATTTTGGTTTTGTGCTGAAGATAGTGAATTCCTTATAACATACTGTATACCTTTTATTCTGAGAGATGCAGAAGTCGTCATAGTAATGTAAATAATTAAAAAGTGCTGTTGAAGCTTCCCAATATTGAAAATGTTGCAAGTTTCTTTTCTTTTGATTATTAATCCCATTGTAAGGGAAATTTAATTGGAGAGTACTTGTGGATTATGAAATGTGTGTGGAGAGTGAATCTTGAGTGTTTGTGGCATGAAGGAATGAATGTTTTAAGTGTTATATTAACTATTTAAATTTTAAGCATCATTCATTTTTCTCTGAAAATCTTATAGGAAACTTCAGTCACATTGTTTTCCATGAGTAAAATGACTTGCTATTATAGACTCAGGGAACACATGGTCAGTCTTCTTTTCACATGAAACTTTCATTTCCTTTTTTAAATTGAACAAATTCCTTATTTAATGGGAGAATATCAAAAAACAAAGCAACTTAATATTTTAAGTTATTTTTATTATCTTGTGCATGCAAAAATTGCCTTGTAAATTCATATACATATGATTTCTTGAACAAAGAAAGGTAAATAATGTGGCCCAACGTTTTCTGAACACTGGTGCCAATGGTGAGTTCTGCAGTTCACAAAATACAGACAAAATAATGTATTTTCCTGTATCCTGTTTTCCAATGGCCTGTGTCTTAGCTCTGTGTAATTCAATTATATGCTTAAAAGGAAAAGAAATAGAACCAGGAGGAAATCTGTTATCTCATTTGCAAGGGAGGTAATGCATACCTTCCAAATGTAAAAAAATAAAAACTAAGAAGCCAATAAATGTTCAAGTGATGCTAAGTATTGTGTTTCTTTTGAAGCTAACAGTCTTTTCCATGTTTATTAACACCAAGTGCACATCAGTATAAAAGTGCCACAGTCCAATAGTTTTGTTTCCACCAATTTGAAATAACGAAGAGAGCATCATTTGAACAGATTGGATCAACAGCAGCAGCGGAAATAATTACGTATCTTAATTTTCATTTGTTGGCTAGGCTATCCGAGACAAGCTGCGTCAGTGTCATTGTGGCAAACGTTTCGGCCAGCGTATTGTGGCCTTCTTCAGAGCGTTCAGCAGTACACTCTGAAGAAGGCCACAATATGCTGGCCAAAACGTTAGCCACCATGACATTGAAGCGGCTCGTCCCGGATAGCCTAGCCAACATAAACTCCGGCCGTGGAAGCCTACGCAACCTTAATTTTCAGTTATTCGAATAACTTTTCTACTGACCTTTTAAAAGATCTTCCGTTTCTTTAAAGTACAGAATTTTCTTTGGAATTTCTATCATTAATAGAACTACCTCACTGTTATCTTTCAATGTACAAAATAAATTTTACATGTTCTGGTGGTGACAGTTAAGTTAGTTTAATGCAGAGCATCTAGTTCTGTCTGTCGCAAGTTTTCCAGGCTTCCATCTTCCCTCTCATTTTCTCCTGCCCAGCTCTCCATGCCCAGTTTGTCCTGTGATTGCAGATCTGCTACCGACGGTATGTAGAACGCCACTGGCAAATTGCGGTTTGCTTTTCACGAAGTAGTAAATGTAGCTTATGACATATGACTCGATCAGTGTTTGTGAAGTTGCTCTTGTTACTGATCTTCACCCTTTCACTGCAGCTTCTAGTGATTGAGACTGTGCAGCTAAAACAATTTTTGAACGCCTTTAATTGGTGATAGTGGTGAAGTGTCGGTTACTTGGCCAATCCATGTTTTTGGAGGTGCTGAAATGGAGTATATTATTGGTGATACATGTAGTTAATCTGAAGTGTGAAAGTTCATCTTGTCTGTTTGAGGAAATTACTCATCGCTTTTTATAGTTTTTTCAATAATGATTCTTATTCTTGCGTATCATTGTCCTTCTGAAAGTTGATCAGTTGGATGAGTTGAGTGTACACTTTGTAAATGTGGGAATGTTTGTGTGTGTGAAAGAGTGAAAGAATGACAAATTTCTTGTGATGTTCTTCCTTATTTTTGAGCTCTGTTTTCTGTTCGTTCATCGTAGTTCCCTTGTTGACTGCTAGGAAGACCTATAAAGAGAGCAGTTAGAGGGGTAGGAAGTGCAGAAGGTACTCACTCGTTCAGTAACAACTCTTCCATTTTTTGGCATTTTTTACAAAGTTACATTTAGAATTGTAATGGTATGAATGAGCAAAGTAATTATAGGACTCTGCTTAGTTATTTTTGTGAGGAAACTGTAATATATAAATATTCCTGTGAACTCTTCTGAATTAAATCAAAACTTTGTAAAGAATGCCTTTGTAAAACATGTCTTTCATAAGAAGTACACCTTTACAGTCTTGTTTACTTCTCATCAAGGAACACCATGCTAGTTATGGAAATAGTTTTTGTATTTGAGAGGCACATTATTCACATACATCTATATTTTATTTGCATTCCTAAGAAATAATTTACTTTGCAAAATGAGGAGAGAGAAAAAGCAAGAATTGAAATTAATTTTTTATTTTGATACTGCTATTCAGATTAAGTTGCTTTCAGTGACTTAATAGCATTAATCCAAGCAACAGAGTTGGATGAAATACATAGACGCTGTTCAATAGAGATTTCTCAAGAGTATTCTCTATCACATGCTGTGGGTCAGAGATCAATGCTAAATTAATTATTCATGAAATATTTATCTTTCTTGCTTCATATAATATAATATATGTGATATCATTTATGCTGTAAAGTAAAATACTCTATTCTGTGGTTATTCTTGAATGAATGGAACCTCCTTTTCAAACAAGTGAAAATTTTATTACTTGAAAGTATTGAATATTAATCCTCAGAATATACTATGAATAACAAATGCAGAGATTGCCTCTTGGGAATTACGTACATGGCTACATAAACAATTTTATTGAAATAAGACTAATATTCTGCAGCAGATAAATTTCACATTAATTTTCCAGTGCACAGGTTAAGTATTGATACAAAACTTAACTCCTATGAAAACTCAATTGCATTCCCTTTTCTTGTATTAATATTTCAATGATCTTAAAATTTGTCTGTTAGTGGAATCCTGCATCCTCGGACTGCAGTAGTGAAGGCACATTCCTGATTTCCAAGAGATTCCTAAGATTAGAAAGAAACTGATCATCTTCAGTCTAATTTGTTGTTAGAAAACATCAAATATGGCCTCACATGCGAGCATTGAAAGGACCCACAGTATATGCTAAAGAATGGATTTTATTTAGTAAATATCAATCATTGGAAAGAAATTAACATCAATGTGTGTTTTCCCTTGAGTAATAAAGTGGTGATTCAGTTAGCAGTAGTTAGTGTTCACTAATCAAATCTTCAGTGTGGCATATTCGTTGCATGCATAACATGAATTTAATGAGTTTAAAAATAATTTTGAGTTTGCATTGACAGAAAACTGCTTTCTCCAATAATCCTCCCACCTCAATACTATTTTCTTGTGCATATCATAAGAAGATATTACTGGAATTAGTTCTCCACTAGAAGACGACAGCGTGATACTAAAGTTTTTGTTTTTATGTTAGGGTTCTTCATGCAATTTTAATGAATTGCTGGTTTGGAGAACTTAATTCTGGACTTTCTGTTGGTCTTCATTATGGTGTGCTGATTATAGTTGTCAGCAACTAATTTGCCTCTAAACCATTTAATTTATCCAGGCTTTGCATAGTGTTCCTTAATTGCAGCATGCAATAAGATTTTGCATGAGCATTTTGTCTGCATTTCTTGACTCAAAGGATCTGCATGCAGAATCAATGGAGTAGAATGGTTGTTGGTTACATAGCAGCCTAAAACAGAATATACTCTGAATTGGCTTGGATTATCTTAAATGGAGAATTTTGCACCCTAAGGAGTAAGACTAGTATTTTGAAATTAGGAAATGAGTACACTGTACACTTTCAATATTCTGAAGAAAACAGTAGTATATTATTGAATGAAGTTAATGGTTGTAACTCAGTATTCCTTTTGAGAATCGGATAGTAGATATTGATGGGTATCAAGTATGTAATAATTATTTGGCAATTGTTATCAGCACAACTTTTGTAACTAGTTTCCTTGTAGAAGAAAACTAATGAAAATATCTTATAAAGCTCACAAACAAAAACTTCTTCTGGAGAACAATATTTTCACTGTGTGTGAGTACCCGATTCTTTCCTATTAAGGTATTCAAAATGCTGCTAGTGTATCTTATGTAATGTAGAGTAGATCTTCCTTGCCTTTATAAATAATGTATATATTAAAACATACAAGATACTCAGTATAACCTGATACACAACTATTTCACGTTGCTTAATAGTTTATTCTCAGTAGCTTTGTGTGAATTTTTAAATAAAGTAGGCACTTTTGTCTTTCTCAAATAATCTTTTGTAGATGGTTAGTCTGCAATGGAAGATCAAAAACTGTAGAAAAATATTGCTGCAATATTCCCCAAGCTTTCTTGAAAGCTTATTATTACATGTGTGTATGAGATTGGAAGTGTTCATTTCAGTAAACTGCTACTTGATATATGTTCAGATTAGTGAAATAGAGCCAGTATAGGCAATTTCATGAATATTTCTTTGCACAATTGGACAGATTTATAATAAAATTAAACCATTTAATAATGGACAATATCTTGTGCTTGGTAATGATCTGATTGTTAGTAGAAAGCTTATGTTTACTGCTCTGTATGTGTACATTTTGTTCTCTGGTTTTATGCAAATATATTTTAATTCTTATGCACAAGTGTTACTTTTTCAGGTGGCCGTTAACGTCATACAAGAATTCCACTGTTTAGACTCAGTGTTGGACTATGTGTTAACCGGAAAGGAGATGCACTTTTCGGTGAATAGTGCTGTTCTTTAAGACAATTGCTCCTGTAGACTGATCATTACTGAAGATTCGTCTGCAAGAACACAGCACAGTGGCAAATTGGTGACTGAAATGCTAAGAAATAAGCTTCTCGAAATGAAGAAAGTTCTAATGCTGCGGGTGGAAAATTTCTCTCTACAAGTTGTTAAAATTTAAGCTCAGATCTTATGATTAGAGATCAACGAGTGATTTAGTGTATGTGACTGGAGGTTTTTGTTACACCAAAAACCAGTTGAACATTAATTACTTACAATTATGTAGGAGGATGTATCTGGCATTGTAGGAGCGGCACTTATCCTAAAATGAGCAGCATCCTGTACATTGTCCTCAACTGTTTTGCATGACAAGGAATCATTTATGCACTGATAAGTCATTGCTGGTTTTAGAACACATTTTATATTCATTTTTGTATTGCTGCTTGGAAAACCAGAAAATGTATAGTTTAGATTTATTAATACAAGCAAGTATAATTTGTAATGGCTTCACGAAAGAGGTGATGGGAGAATTTGTATTTCTTCCTCCTCTGAAGCTTATAATGCATGAAAGTTCATTTAGAAATGTTCCTTGCAGAATGCATTGCAGATCTATGAGGACCACATAGAGGCTTTAGGCCCTGTTTACACGATGTAAATCACAAATGTGATCAAACTTACTTCATTCAGTCAGTGTAAAGGAAATTTTTCTCCGTATGTAATAATAAAAAAAAAAATGACTTGAATCGTTTAAAATAAAATGGATTGAAAAAGGATGTGTGGAAAGAGGATGTAAAGAATGCTCTTGCCAGTTGATCAAAAGGATTTTTTTCCAGTTTTAATTTTTCCTCCAGGAGTATAGGTTTCCCTCAAGAAGTCAGCCAATTTGCATCCATTGGGCAATTTGTACAGTTTGAAAGCTTCGTTTCTAGAGTTTGGTGTTGACAGTCATGTCATAATTGCCCAATGGTTCAGTTACAGTTATGAGAGCAAGATACTGTTTTTTTATGTGAATATTCTTAAAAGTGTTAAAAACAAGTAAAGTGATCTTTTATTTTGTAAAAGTAAAGTAAGTTTGTGAAAATAATCCATGGCACTGAAGCCTTTGGGAAGTGAGACATCGTGATGATTCAATAATTCTGTGTTATACCACATACAATGTTTTAATATCTACACATTTGGTCTGGTATGGATGGATGCTATCTGTATGTTGTGTAAGTTAAAAAGGCAAGAAAACAATATTCTATTATTTAAAGACTCTTTCATAAGCCTTTGTGTGATAAATAGAATGGCTGATATCGACCAGCAAGTGGGATCATGATATGTTCTTGTTGCTGTGACTAGTTGATGAAAAGTATTGCCTGATGATGTGTGAGTGTAGGATGAAAAACATTTGCAGTGCAGTTTATAAAGAATGATACTAAGTATACATTGAAAGAAAGAAGAGTAAGTGAATTGATTGTGTGTGTATGTAAATAAAAACACTGTCCAAGATCCAGCTGTTCAGGGGGACAGTTTTCCGTTTTTTGTTTTGTTTTTTTTTTTTTAAATTCTTTTTCTGTGTAGTTTGTAGGCACTGGAAAAGGTGAATTTACGCTACCAGTTGGTGAAAATCTGTTGTACATAGATGAGTGTTTCTTTTGTAATTTCAAAAGTGTTATGTTTTTCATTCATTGCATATTGACTTTTCTGAATTATTTCATCAATTTGTTTTTTCCTACCAGTTTTCTGAAGAGAATATTGGAGAAGAATAATTTCTGATTGCTTTGAAGGTGGAAATCTTTATTTCTGCACTTCAACCTCATTCCATCACTTCCTTAATGGTCAAGAGGAAGGTGTTTATCATATATTTTATGTTGAGGTTGTTGTTGTGGAAAGATTTGAAAATAAAATATTACCATGTTGTCAAATATATCTATACAAATACACATAGATAGTCATACAAATCAGTTCTCATAAACTAAAGAACAGATCGTTTAACTTGTATAGATTAAGTCATTTGTGTGTATGGTTTTTAGAAGTCCTGTACCAAATTAGATTGTCAGCAGTATCTTAAATAAAAAGCTATCGAAGATAGTTCATGTTTTCTTTACATCCTTCTGCACCCTAATGAGTGGCAGTGTAGCATTTTTGTAAGGTCATTGACAGGCGATTGCCCAGAATGAAGATGGTCTACGTAAAATGACAGGGGGGGGGGTCATAAAATCACAATGTTCTGTTTTAAATGGTCAAAACTAAACTCAATTTTCTGAAATTTGTTCACTTTTTAATATCGCTTTAATCTCTTGGGCTCTCTTAAGGCAATGTTGAAATGCTTTAAATGTCTTAGTATGTCAGTAAAATCAAAATTCATTGAATCCTATAAATGTGAAATGGAAAAACATTTTAAAATTAGTTTGCAATCAATTTGGTTATCGTTCTTTATAATTATTGCTTGTTATGAAAAACCTTCCACTCAAACATTTGAGGCGCTTAAGGTAGCAATGACAGATCCCAACCCACCTCACATTTTCAGTTAGAAGTATGAAAAAGGAGACTTATGCCATATACTTATCATATGCTGAAATATCAAATGAATTGGGATATGGCAAAACCTTCAAATGCCTCCGTCAAACATTTGTCCGGAGTGAAAGTGAACATGAATGTTAATGAACACAGAAAAAGTAATTTTTTTGAAAATAACTGCGGGTGGGATCTGAGTGCCTTGATTCATAATGAGCTGATAGTCGACTGAGCAGTAGTTACCATTTCAGCATTACATTCATCAAAAAGATGATCCAAACAATCGCAAGTTGAAACACTGTTCAAGAAAAATAAATGGGCAATGCCACACAATTGGAAGTTGCATATTCAACATACATGTCATACAGCTGGGGTTACACACCCATTATCTTGCCATAATACATCAGCTAATCAGTGAAGAGAACCCCTCTGAAGTATCAGAACTCTTTGCAACATGTCAGCCAGACTTGAATAAACTAGATATTAGTGAACTTACAAACACGTGAAGCAGAAAAGGTTGAGGAATGTTAGATAGTTACATATCTGTACAATGGTCTACATATGCACTAACATTTATATTGTAATCCATTAAATAATGAAATCCATGAAAATGTATATAAATTATTTTTTTAAATAATGCGTGACATTCGGAAGCAATTGTGTTAACCATTTGATGTTCATGAACTGATCAGATAAATGTATGTAAATATTTCTAAACATCCTGACATTACCTTCCTTGTCCTGTCCTATGGCTCGACAGCCTGCTACAGGCCTTGGCCGATCAGTGGTATTTAAACATCCTACATTACTAAATATGTAGAATTGTGCCGTTCTGTAGTGGCAAATATTTTAATGTAAGACTGATTCCTCATTCCTATGTAATACAATGTATTAAAGAGTGTGCCTCATTTCTCTTATTGTTTTATATTTATTTACGTCAAAAACCGTTAAAACTGTGTGACGTGCTATGGGGAGAAGTAAATTGAAGTTAAATTTATGTCCAGAAGCAAAACAAGGGGCCATCTCAGTATCTGCTTAAGGATCAGGGAAACTGGACAAAAACCAGATCGAGATGGGGGTCATTGACCCAGAAGATGAAGTTCAATACTTGTTACAGGTTCTTTACAATTATACAATCCAAATTATATATAATACAATAAATGTCATTGTTAAAGTTAATATTACTTTCCCTTGGAATGCTTGGTGTAGTCTCTAATTGTATAGAATCCGTTGTGCAGCAGAAAAGATTTTACTTGGGACTTAAACTTTTGTATCGAATTTAATCGTTTAATGTCATCTATTCCCCCAAGGTTAAAAAAGAATTACATGGGTATGTGATATAGTGAATTTTTGGTAAAGAGCTGCGATGAATATGATGTACTACGTCCCAATCACCTATCCCTTACCCCCTATTTTCATACGGGGCGTGTTATAATGAGGCGTGATGATATGACTTGATATATACCTAATAGTAGTATAATAGCTATAACGCTATGAGATAGGACGTGATGGACCCGCATTAGCTATATCGCCAACGCACAACCGTATATATATATATTCATTTAATTATAATTAATTAATTAATTATATTAGACATTTAATTTATTAAATCTACTTCAAAATTAAACATTGTATTGTTTAGAAATATTTTTTTGCCCAGTCGCTACTACAATTTCATGCGTGATCCCTTTGTTTATCAAAGAATAACCCTGATTTACCTATTGTAGCTCTGCTGCTCTGGCACTATTGGTAAATTCATATACAAATAACTGCGTTAAATAATTACACTCATTTCAAACAACGTAAAATTCATTCACACATTTACATCTTATCCATACATTCTTTCCCTGATACATCATGCATGGCCATTGTTACCATTCTAATAGTTACTTTCTAATTTTAATGATAATTTAAAACTTAAATGGCGCCTGACTTCCTCTTCTGACAATTACGATGCAAATAATGTCTATGGCTTTTGAACATAACAGGAAGCTTGGTCATCATAACTCCTGATGTAATTTAATTTCTGTATTAACATCTTACAACATCTTACATGTTGCTTGCCTATTTGAAAATTAGAATTTAAAGTTAGAATTCTGCAAAATTCACTAAACACTTTGCAGCCGTCTGCAAGCAATAGGGGCGAAAGTACAAGTGGTGGGGGAGGGGAGTAGCCGAAGCGGGATCGATGCTGCTCATAAATTGAATGATCCAGGTGAGAAATATTTGCCCGTATTTAAATGGACAGTCTACCGTATTTCTAGCTACAAGGAACATCGTAAAATATGCCTCGAAGGTATTTAATATAAAAATTCCTGTTTTTGTTTGTTTGTTTTTTTTTCATTTAATACTTAGAAAGTGTGTTTTATTCTTCGGTTTATTAATTTTTCAAAAAATAAATATTTCATTGAAAGAAAATATATGCGTATTTCTTGTATAATTTTCTATAAAATACAAGAAAAAAAGTGGGCACTGTGCAAATACAGTTCTAAAAAAATAATTGTAAGTATGAGGGCGCGCTCTCCCTTGCCTAAGCACTTAACGAATTGCGGTTGGTCAATTTTTGATCCAAAAACAGTAAATAGAATTGCTCAAGAACAATAAAAAGAATGGCCGTCTGCCTAAATAAGGTTTCAAAATATATTAGTATCTCACATTTTCATTTTGTTCCCAAAAGGAATGGGAGACCGCAAAACAAATGCAACTACCACTATCCCTCGTGACAGCGGAACGAATTTTACTGCTGAGTCCCTTTGCATCCTAAGGATGGGGCATCCTCCTGACCTTGCTCGTAAAATACAACAGACAATTTGTTTAGGGCCACGAGTAACATTTTCTGAACATCAGTAGGAATACGCATCTTTTGAAGAGTGCTGGAATTTGTACGTTGTATCGTGTGTGCTCTGTGCAACATGAGTGACGGTCACTGCGCGAGATACGACAGATGCTTCAATACGTTTAGTCTCTTTCTGGTCAAGATTTTAAGAAGAGAAAATCTCTAAAAGGTCTAGACCGCGATATACTGTTGTAATTTGATTTAGAGCGGTCATTAGATTTGTGATTCATGTCGGAAAAGAGTCGGTATCCAAAAATTATTTGTTAGTGAAGTGTGCGTCGAGATTGGTGGCTCCCGTGACATCGAAATTAGCGAAACGTCCAGTGAAAATAGAGAAAACAATAAAGAAATAATTGAAGTACGTCAGACGATTTGTCAAGTATCTGCGAAACCAATGTAGAGGAGGTAAATAAGAGTTTAATAGCAGTAGGAAAACCCCGTCAAGAAAAGAAAATTGCAACAAAAACAGTATCCCCATGAGAAATTTCAGAAAGTACAAAGTGCAGTAGCAGACAGAATTTTTCATACTGGAGATCCTTCAATGTCCATTGAGAAATCAGCCGATAAAGATATTATTAAGAAACTAATCGTTTTCTTTCACTCAACAAGTGACAAAACATTGAAAATTCAAATTGTGACATTTTGAAAATCGGACATACAATAAAATTAAACGACACTTCGAAGTCACCGACCAAATGATAAGAGTGGCTAAAAAGTTTGCTGAAGAAAATGGAATTTAGTCCAGACCTGAGAGTAAACTCGGTAAGGCATTACAACTGTGCATTGAGACGAAAGTTCCGGAATTCTATAGATCAGAAGTTAGGAGGGTAATGGCTGGAAAGAAGAATTTTGTTAGTAAGAAAGAAGACTGACATAAGATTCACTAGCAGAAGTGACTAATTTTGTGTTATCTTACGGAAACCTACAAATGTTTTAAGGACAATTATCCCGAAGACAAAATAGATTATTCTAAATTTGTATCTCTGAGGTAAAAAAATGCATTTCACTAGGGGCTAATGGAACTCAAGTGTTTTTGTATACCATGAAAATATTAATGATAGATGGGACAAACGCTTTTCGCTTAACTGAAAATTTTGGTGTGGTTGTTAAAAACTACAAAGATGCATTGGCGTACACTACTGCAATCCACCATCAATATCTTGTTATTTTGATATACGTTAAATTTAAATACATTATGAACACTAGCCATGTGACCAACTTAGATATCCCTAATGGTGGAACCAAACTCATTATTAATTTGTCTTAAAAATTCTTCGTAAGAAGAGAAAGAATCGTGAGCCAGAAAACGAAGAAATTTCGCCAGAAAGAAAACAACTTATTGCCGGGTTCTGTAACGAAAAAGTCGATTCTAAGTAATGTTACTAAATTTTGGCACGTTAAATCTAAGGATCTGAGTTCGAGTGGAAAAATAATTTTCTACTTGAAAACACTTTTGTTGGTACTAGTACTGATCCTTGTGGGGCTCCATAATTTATCATTCTAGGAGGAGAAAAATGGGTAGATTTTTTTTATCTCAAACATGCATGATTGTGATTACTTTACAAGGATTTGAAAGGTATGATTTAACCCATTGC